TGAAGATGAAGAGGGGATGGCTTCTACAACAGGACAATTATCCTAAACTTACCTCGAAATCCACAATGGACTATCTCAAAAGGCACAAGCTGAATGTTTTGCCATGGCGCTAAAAACCACTGAAAATCTGTGGATTGACCTCAAAAGAAGAGCGCATGCAAGATAGCCCAAAAATCTCAGAGCTAGTGAGCCTTTTGCAGGAAGAATGGTTGAAAATCCCCCAAACAAGAATTGAAAGGCTCTTGGCTGGTTTCAAAAAGCATTCAGAAGCTGTGATACTTGCCAAAGGGGGTGCTACTAAGTACTGACCACACAGGGTGCCTAAACTTGTGCGTCAGACCCCTTTCCTCTTTTGTTATTTTGTATCTGTACAAGATTAAAATAAATAAAAAAGTAATCTTGCTTATAATATTGTTTAAAAAAAAGTGTCATCTTTAAGTAGCGTTTTAGAATTCAGGTCATCTTTTACTTGCTTAGCTATATACAGTAAATGAAATTTTGACACAGGTTGCACAAAGTTTGCATGCAACTCTATAAGGGATATAGACACCTGAACTCTTTTACCGGAGTCGGTGCTGAAAAACTATCAATAAAGTATGTAAGCAAGCAAAAAACATGCTTGTTTGAATGGCACAAGGAGTGCCAGCAGTTCAAAACCTGCATTACAGCATCGACAGAGAGCAGTGACAACAATAAAATTCACTGTGAACTCATCCACACCAGATCTGCAGTGCACCCACTTCCGTCCCGTCAAACGGAAATACTGGAGGACATTTTTAATTACAACATTAACAGGCTGCTTGATTCACTCTTCTTTAAATTTATAGGTAAGTTATTTGTGGAGTGTGAAGGTGACAGGGAGGAAAGTTTGGCAACATTTGCTACTCTGGAACCAACAGTCAAGGCCAGGAGGGCTGATAAACTCAAATGTTGTCAGCAGGCCAGGGAAATATTCTCAGGTCAGTCATTCTCTGCATACAGAACACATCCCGGTGAGACTTTCTTTAGTGGCTGGGCTGTCAGAGCATCTAGTGAGAGTCTCCCAGGCACAGGGAGTCCACAAAATGTGACCTCCAGACCAAAACATTTAACACATAGAAAGTTGACTAAGCTAGTCTAATGAAATTATCAGTCTGAAAAGTCTGAACGGACATCAAATGTGTCTGAAACTGTCTGTGGGTCAGTCCCTCTGCCCTGTATCACACTGCACAAGGTGGCTGTAAACAGCAGGAAAACAGGCATACAACTGTATGCACAACAATACTTATGACCCATGAGGCCATGAAATGTATTCAAAGTTCTGTCTTTTTCCTTAAATTATCTCAATTCTGAAAAAAACTTGACATTAAGAGAATAATTTAGTGTGTCATCACAAAGTAATCGAGACACAAACAGCAGGTTATTTGGCACCATTTAATTATGACTCCTAAATGGGTCCACAATAAGCAAGAACGTAAAGGTCACCTGACAATCTGCAGCTCTGCATCCAGCTTGGTGAACAGTTTCAGCTTATCAGACCAATGTGTAGTATTATGAAATAATTAAGTCTGGCTCTTTGCTGGAGTGTTTTCAGACAATGCTGCAGTCTGCAGTGAACAATCACGCAGTGCATCAGACAAGCGTTTCCCCTGATAATAAAGCTTTTAAGCCACAGCCTAATGGATAAGATGCCTGCAACCTTTAAGAAATGTCTAGTAACTTATTCCATTCGATACTGTCTTAGGGAGTTGAACAATAATGAACTCTACGATGGATACAATCAATTACAAAAAGTGATCATCCTTTAAAGGCAGAGAGGAGAGCGATCAAATTGTGTGAACCAACTAGTTAATCTCTGCTGCAGTGACTCTACCAGATGATTAGAGGAACAGAAGAAAAAGGGAAGTCAAAGCAGAGACCTGATGGATGAGGCCAATTCAGGTAAACAGATCAGCAACTACATCCCACTGCATTTAAAATGGACTAAAGTGATAAACAATAACAAGTGATTCCTCCCAACATAGATAAGAACACCTCTGAATTCCCACATCAATTCTCCTGCTGCACTGAACACCTGCACTCCACAGTATCTGATCCAAAGAGTTTCAGAAGCACAAGTTTAAGAAAGTGTTTTCCCCCTGACAGTCCAAAGCACCTGGACAAAGTCCATGCTTTTACTGGCAGCACGTGTAACTATCCTCGTTAACCATTAAACTAACTTAAACTTACCTACATTTACATGTCTGCAATTACTCACTGGCCCCCACAGTACACTAACGCCTGCACGACTCCAAATTGGCTTCAAAAAATTGATAACCTGTCAAGTTAATGACAAGCACTGACAACAAGCTTTCTTTTCAAACTGCAACTGGAAGTGACTGACTCTTGCCTCATACGTCTTGGCAGTAAATTGGCAGCAATAAATGTAAGACTGGGAGGGCTGAAAAATATGTGAATCAAGGCAGAGAAAATAGACAGGGCCCTGGCCAACCATGCAGTGGATAGAAAAGCCATTTCCTGATAGTCGCTCATTAATCTTCTGGGTTAGAAAACAAACTCATCCAATTAAAGTTTCCCGGGATGTTTGTTGATTCCTCAGAATAAAGCTCGACTCTCTCAAAATCAGTCAAATGTGAACTAGTGACACAACTAGTGTTGTGGTGCAGCCAAATCTGCATGCGAGGATGTTGATTTAATTGCATGATGGAATTCAACCCTCTCCATTCAGCCACCAGTGAATGGGAGATGCTAATTGGGAGATGCACATTTTTTCAATTATTTCACAGGCATTAATAAGACATATGGGCAGAGCCTTCAAACATGATGGTATAACTGTAACTGATCACACAAACAGATACAGGAAAAGCATTGTGAAGTCTACAGGAAGTGGTTGATCATGCAACTGTGATTCACCTCCATGAGCAAAATGATTTATTCTCAAGAGGGCTAATACATAAAAAGACTAGAAACTGCTGTTCCCCATTTCCCATAATTTCTCAGATCAAAAAAGATGTACCTAATAATTACAGCACCATCTGTTCGTAGGTGGATAATGAGGCAGCGCTCATACACTGTAAGTGGACTATTTTTAAACTCACAATAAGATTAGTGTAATTTCATGATATGTTACACACCAGGGAGGTTCAGGCAGGCAATGTGACTGCTGAGAGATATGCTTCTGCTTTTCGGATAGCTGCACCTTATATGTTGCCATGGCAGCTGTTGTAAACAGTGGGCTCGATAAGAGTTTGAAGAAAACTTTTCTGCACATTGACAAACGTTATAAATGCCTCAAAACCCATAATGATTGGATGTTGCGGTGATGCTGTTTAGCAACATCCTGTGTCTCCTGCACCTCCAGAACAAAGAGCATCATCTCAAGTTTTATAGCTATAACCATTATAATGCTAAATAATGCTCTCAGGATGCATTATATTGTGTGCTACAAGAGTATGGTTACACTACATTATTTTTCATTTCCACAAAAGCAAAAGCAAAATATTAATATCATTAAACTGAATTAAATCATTAAAAAGTCACACTGCCAAGTAACCTCTGTGCAACAAAAGCCTTTATGCTCACTTTAATGTGAAAATGTCAATTCATTGATTTTTCACAGTGCATCCAGCAGGTCGGCACTTTAACTCACATAATGATAATGAAATGTCATTTTCATAGGACATTATATCTCATTATTAACAAAAGTATCCCATACAACTGAATCCCTTATAATTCTGCCCGAGACAATAAATAGTCATGCATTTAATGGAATCCAACAGTGATTTGAACAGTCCTGTTTTTGCAAACATATTATTAATGCTCTTGCACATCACACTTTGCCAATTTTTCATTCATCACATCTGACGGCTCCCACGAGCAGAACAGGGGTGAGAAACCAAATCACTGCTATCTCTTCATGAAATATGAAAATATATATATATAAATAAATCACAATTTAAATGTGGTAAAAAATGGTTTTGGCAGAGTGCTGATGGCGTGCACACATGTGCATGCTAATGTAACTTGTACCACATTCAGAATAAATCAAATGTGGTGGCTGAAGGTAGCGACGCCGAGCTTTTTCAATCAGTATCCCTGCCGCCAGTGAGGCAGGGGACCATTAGCACCAGTGAGCCAAGTAAAGTGACTCTGATGTGAAATGACAGGGGCTTTCACAGAAGCCGTCCTACCGTTTCAATCATTGTCATTCACTTACACACACACACACAGCTACCCTACATTGCAACTAACCTCACTAGGAAACAAGTGCACTCACACTGTTGTTTTGTTTTCAAAATTAAGGTCTTGATTCATTAATTTCAGCATCATAAAACCTCATTTCCTAAAATACATCTCTATATTTTCCCTTTTCATCTACTATAGGTCTCCTTATGATCCTAATCAGACAATTACCCTGTGAGTTATGAAATAAAACCTTTTTGGATGCCTTGAATGTAACACATGAATTATATTGACAAGCTACTGCACTAGAAATGTGCAAAAACTCAATATTTTTTCAGACTACTGAGAAAACCTATTGTGCAGCACAATCACATATTATATTGACAAAAGCATTGTAGTCTACCAAATGGGCGTTGCCTCATGCTTAATCACCATACCTCTTTGTAAAGGCTGGTGCACAATATGGTTACATGTGATCTGGCACTTTCAGATATGTAGGCCTCCTGCAGGGTGAGACCTAAAACTATAGTTTCCCCCCTTTTTCCATAAGATTTGATTTATGCAGCTGGAGTGGAGTCTAACTGAGTTAATTACAAAGTGACTCCAAAATTCGAGAAACACAATTTTAAATCCCTGCTAATAATCAGACTGTCACATAGATCAGCCACCTTAACATCTACCCCTCCATCATGCACCCCTGCAGACTATTAATTGCATGCCAAGCGAGTACAACAGGCGACCGAGGGAGGGTAGGTCGCCTTCCTCTCCACTTTGACATCAAACTTTTTTTTTATTTTCGGAGTATTGAATCATGCTGTGGAAGATGACACTTCTCCTACCTCTGCCCTCCTGCTCTCTGCCCCGGGTCTGGTGATGAGCGCCGTGTCACCGCACACCACGGCCGCGTCCTCCACGAACACGCAGTCCGGGAGCGACTCGTCCGCGGGGAGCTCGACCACCTCCAGCCCGAGCCTCGTCTCCAGGACCTCGACGTACTCCTCGTGCTCCCTCCGCGCCTTGGCCAGGTCCACCTCCGACGGGCTGATCCGGAGCGCTTCTGTGGCCAGGGACGCGGGGATTCCCCGGACGACGGCGTGGGTGTAATGACCAAAACCTGCCATTAAACCAGCCATGTTTTGCTTTCCCCTTTACTTGGCACGCTCAAATCTGAAAAAAAAGAGGAGTGAAAAAACACCCTTACAGACAACTCGGCGAATGAATGACAGAAACTACTATCAGTTAACCCGATGCTGCCCGGCTTGCTTATTTGTTTCCTGCTAGTTGGTTAGGTTTTTATTCTTTATTTACAGTAGCCTGCTATACAGTGTCAGTCAGCCCTGCTTCAGTCTCCAGGCGAGCGACAGCGCTTCGGTGACGCGCACCGACCATCACGTGTAGCCTACGAGTCTGTCAGCCCTCAGTGAGGCGTTCAGCCCAACAAGTGACAGTCAGAAACACACTGTACCTAATGGCTCAATCCATTTCACAGTGGATCAGCAGAGCACAGCTTGCAAGTCAAACTCCTCCACACTTTAAAAGTCTCTTAAAGAAGGAATTCAGTTATTTCTCCATAACATATTTTATATTAGTTCCCCATATTTTTATATAGTGTTATGGGAATATTTATGGGAATCATTTAGATGAAAGAACTAGTCGATTAACTAGTAAATCGACAGAAAATGTATCATATTTCAAGCAAAAATGCAAAACACTACCTTGGTCCTGACTGATTCTTTTTTTTTCTTTTCTTTTTTTTTTTTTTTAATTTATATATACTTTATTAATCCCCCTGAGGGGAAATTCAAATTTTTTCACTATATTTTTTTTCACTCTTTTGTCAGTAACACACAGGTCCGAAGGACACACACATTTATACCTATACGTACACAAAGTGGAGAGATGTCAGAGTGAGGGGGCTGCCTTGGTCAGGCGCCCCAAGCGGTTTGGGGGTATGGTGCCTTGCTCAAGGGCACCTGGCACCTTGCTCAAGGGCACCTGGCACCTCTCCAGCCACCAGTCCATGCTTTATATTTGGTCCGGACAGGGACTTGAACAGCTGACCCTCTGGTTCCCAACCCAAGTCCCCCTTTTTGTTTGAGTTAGGGTTAGGGTTGTTTGTTCATGTGATAGTAAACTGGAATTTTTTGGGTTTTGGTTATGGGTTGGGCAAAACCAGCAATTTGAAGACATCAACTTAGGTTCTAGAAAATTTTGAGAAGCATTGCTTCCACCATTAGATCAAACAATTAGAAAAAAATCATCTAGTTACAGCCCTAGAATCAGTCGTAACTGTAAACATTCACAGTCACGTCCCCACATAGGGAACTGCCCATTGGTCCGACATCCCATTGTTCCGACCATATTAAACCCATTGTTCCGAAGTCCCGTTGTTCCGAAATCATCATGATGCCCTGTGGTTAAGGTCTGGTTAGGTTTAGGCACAAAAACCGCTTGGTTAGGGTCAGGAAAAGATCATGGTGTGGGTTAAAATGAAAAAGAAAGTGACAAACACATAAGCCGTGAGCCTGCTTCGCCTCAAGCCTTTCCCAGCTGACCCAGAGCCGGTCGCGGCGCACCATCAAGGTAGAAATACGCCCGCCGGGAGCTGTTCAGCACCGCGGAGAGCTCCCCACACAACCCGGACCCCAGAGTTAATCAGGAAGTTATGGTGTTTCATTCTCTTCTCTCTATGGCACTTGTATCTCGACCAGTAGCCTACTTTTGTTGCGTTTGCTGATCCTCTATGGTACACAAATACAGTATAGGCTAGTATAATCACATATCGGAACAACGGGACGTCGGACTAATGGGGTGTCGGACCAATGACATGGACCCCCCACATAGTGATGTCTGTATTTGACCACTTTGATATGACTTCATAAAATCTAGCCGTATAATCGTATGGTTTATATAGCATGCTATGATGAGTTTCAGAAAGCTGAGATTGAGATGGGCGATATCAAGAACAAATTTAATTTGGCAAGAATATAAAAGGACAATGTCATTTGGAAAATATACTATTTCATACTCAACAGCAGTGTTGCAATGTCGTGTTGCTACATGGATATCAATCACTCCAACATGCTCGTGATAAAGGTTGACGAATTCTGGGAGACCATATGACATTTTAGGTTGTATCTTGGTGTGATAATGGAAGAAGTAATGGAAAGGGGGGACCAGTATATATGTCAACTTTTAACGGTAGCCTGCAAAAAGGCAATAGATAAAGCCTGTTGGGACCTTCTAGACCTTAACTTGTATGTTTGTAATGGGAAGTTTCCCAGAGGAAAAAGTGGAATAAATGGTTGACCTTTACTGCAAAATCACATCTGGATTTGTACGATGCTAATGACATCGAAAAGTAGAGCAAGAATTGTATAACCCATTTGATTCCCATGGTTACTTAAAATACATTTCAATTGCTCCAAATAAAAAACGAGAGAGACATGTGTAACTGCTTCACTTCATGCAGACTTCATGAAATAATGTACACCGACTTCAAGGGCAAAGAATATACATATATATATATATATATATATATGTGTGTGTGTGTATATATATATATATATATGTAAAGGAGGATCTCTGCCTGTTCTGCAGCGTGAGAAGAGTGTGAAAGGAAGAGCAGTGTTAGTGTGTGTATGGGAGGAGGAGGGAAGGAGGGTGGAGAGGGGGTTTATATTCCCTATGGTGCCATCTAAGGAAGGTTCTGGGCCCGGTGAAGCTGTCTGAATGGATGGAATGTTTCTTCAGACGTCCCAGAAGCACATTCTTCCACCGCGGGACCTCGGTTTGTCTTTTCTTGTTCCAAATTCACTCAATTATCCCCGACTGCTCTAAACATTCCAGGAGCCCCACATTCCTTTTTCCACTCCAGCCAGGATCACCAACCACCGCCCTCCTCCCAACACTAACACCTGCCCCCACCCAGACTTCTTTTTTTCCATCATTCCTCATCACGAATGGACGTGGCCCAAGAAAAGACCCTCTCTTTCTCTTTTCTCTCTCCATGCTGAGGAATTTGGGTTGCTTCAGATGAAGGAAAGCCCTCATACTTCAGGCACACCTGGCTGGTACATTGTGCCGCTATAAAAGAACTGAGTGAAAGCAGACACGATCCTGCAGCTGCGGATGAAGCAGCACCAAAAGGCAGCACCTCCTATTTGCCTGGTATGATTGGACTCATGATGAGATCCTAGACGTCTAAAGTGACACAGACATGCATGATTACACCAGGTGCACAGAGCATATTTAACTCTTAGCCGTTGGGCAGAATTATGAATCTAATTATCATAGAAAATAAAATGATGAAATGGCACTACAGAAAATGATAAAACATTTATGTTTTTAGATGAAAGGGTTATATTTGGATGCATTTTGATAGCATCTTCACTTGGGTCAGATTCAAGATGTTTTTCAGCTATCTAAGAAATTTTGGTGTAAATGTCAGATTTGTGAAGAGTCTCTTGGCTTGAGGAAATGATGCAGTGACATTTATGATCATGACTGTTCAAAACTAGCTGTGTAGCTACTTATGTAGCATCTTAAAAGACCTTGGGGCTGTCAAAAGACATTTTAGGATAGTGGTTCCCAGCTGGTCCAGCCACAGGGTCCAGATTTCTCCTTAGTCATTAGTTCAAGGTCCACACAGTTTAATACAGTCAGCGTCATACTTGCATTTGTCCATGTTGTCAAGCTAGTTTGCTGTCTCTGTTAATTAGCTGTCTGTTAGTCACTCACTTTACAACAGGAAATGGCCCTTATACATAAAAGCTCTGTGCTGGAAATTTACTGTACTTCAAAATAAAGTTTGTTTTTTACAAACATGACACATTCCTGAGTCACTTGCGGTCCATTCAGGATGGACCTGCGACCCACCAATTGAGAATCACTGTTCTAGGAGGTGCAACGATCACAAACAAAACAAATCCAACATACATCACCCTGCTGCCCTAAGTACTCACTAGTGCACCAAATGTGTACTAATCCACATGTGAAAATAGTTTCCAACAAATGCACTATTTACTCCTGTTTTAGTAGGGTTTGCTAAAAACTTCAGCGCCCCAGACAAGCTAGAGAAACCAAGTATTAAGATTAAGGTTTTGGTCTTTTCATGAGATCCACTGACAATAAGAGAATATAAAATATCTCCATCCATATCCTTTATTTTAAGTATTGTATTTATACATAAAGTATCTGAGAGGATTTTGCCTTGAACTGAGTCTTTGCTATAAATAATTTAGACAAACAACAATAAGTGGACCCTATTTCACTAAAAATGCAGTGTGCTCTTAGGGTCCTAACACACCAAGTTGACGGTCAGCTGCTAGTCAATTTTGGGCCTTCAGTGAGCATCTGTCACCCCAAATGTTGTGGTGTGTCCCGCACTTCTGTCACTAGTTGGCCCTTGTCAACGTTTTTGCCATCGATTCAGTATACTGAATGGGTGTCGGAGATGACAGGGTCCATCTGTGGATAAAACCATTCTGATTGTCAGTTCAGCTCAATGGACAACAAGTGAAATGAAGAAAGTAAACAAACAACTAAAGTCAAGAGGGAGTGAGAGCAAAACAAAATTTTTATATAAGGTAATGTTTTTAGCCATTGAGCTCTTTATCAGAAGCAGTTTGTAACTGTGTTATTGTTCACTAGCTCACAGTAAATGGAGCCCAACAGGTGCCCTGTTGTTGATGTCTTCATTGTCTTTGGTGTTATTATAATTGTCTGTTTATTTATCTGACTATTGCTGTGCAGCAAACAATGAATTTTCAGAAGGACTAATAAATATCTATCTGTGTTCTTTGTTCTTTCAGCATCAGGTTGTATTCTTAATGTGTTATCTGGCTAACTAGCGTCTTGAATCTGTCTTCTGGTTTCCCTTTTAGAATGACGAACACACACACTATGGCCGCCTGATGATATGGAGAGTTCTTTCCTCTCACGCAGGTACAGAAGGTACCTTCAGAAACTGTAGTCTTTGAGGTGTGTTCAGATGCAGCTTTCTGGCCAAGATACAGTCAACATGGGGCAATGCAGTCAGTCTTTGTCGTTACTAGTTCTTCGATGTTGGTTTGGTGCATCTGGGCCTTTACTTTGGTGCTTCACAACACAACTTAGATCCTGTCTAAAAAAAGAGGTACTGTTTGATATTTAAATGTGATACTGTTGCCCTATCTTTACCGCCTCTAGCTTTACACCGATCAGCAAAGTATATTGCTTGTCTTGCTCTCTTCCCCTCAAGCCTGTCACGTTCACACCCCGACAGCTGATCGGATTCTATCTCACGAATACACCAAGTCTGATACTAAGAAGAGACTGATGACTTTCTCAGTATTCAGCTGCTTCCAACAGGTCTTGGTTGCCAATGTGATGCTGAAGTTAGATATTTAAGACTGGCCACCCTAGAGGAATGTTTGCTTTTCACACTAAATCACTGCAATGAGAGTTTTGAAAATGATAAAGATAGTAAGTTATGTGTGTCCCTTAAAGCAACCAAGAAAACAAGCTGAGGAATATTATGTCCTTGTTTTTGACAACACATAAAATATATTTTTTTGCACAGGAAATAACTTCTTCATTGGCAGTGGCTGGTTAAGTGAGATATCTTATTTACTGCACCTGCACAAAACACAACATTACAGCAGACGTTATCATTGCCTCACGTGTTTGGACACATTCTGCTGCACAAACATGCTAATAATACCTCTAGCTTAATCTGTTCACCATATCCCACTATCGGGAGATGTTGATGTTCTAGCCATGTACTGGC